AGACAGACATTTCTGTTTCTCATGTCCATTTAATTTAATGCATGAGCTCCAACCGCAGAAGACTGAGGAGTCTTAATGACCAATGATGAATAATTAATAATAGTAAAAATTACCATCTTCTTCTTATACTCCCAAGAGCAGTGGCAGATGGTGAGTTCTGGCTGTGCCTAATCCTTGCTGTGCCTCTGGCTGCCCATAGATCTTTCAAGAAGCCAGCATTCAAAGAACACAGTGAAACTCACAAGAAGCTTGTGAATTTTGCTGTTGTTGTTCCAAGGATTCTTTTGGCACAGACTCTGCTCTCACAGATGAGCCTGTACACTCTCCATCACAACCATTCAGTCACACACACACAAAATATCACCAGATGACCTTATGGAGATTTTGAAAACTAGGCCTGTCCTTGAATACAAAAGAGGAAGGGAGATAGGACAGCCTCCCACCTCCACTCCACGGAAGATGCTACGTCCCAATGTCAAGATTTCAGGCCCTTCCTATGGCTCAGAAATGCCGAGCATTACAACGTTCAGGTGAACTGAAAATCACAAACATTTTCAATAAAGAAAATTTTGTTTCATAAATCACTTTGGCAGATGTTTAACATTTGCTGGCTCCCATCAACTCGACTTCCGACTTGCTAACATCCCGCTGGGTGCCAAGAGTAACACGACGCATGGAGCCACGATGGCAACTTCCACAGCCCAACACATGTCTGGGTTGGTAGTGCCTCCACTTCCGTGTTTGTTTATATTCTAGCTGTACCACCAAAATATTTATTTTCTTAAGAAATACTCCCACTCTAAATGGAACCCAAGAAATGATCAACACTGATTGACAAACAGATTAAAATACTTGACTATGACATAGACGGTGATAACTCAAACCTGTTCACAGCCCCTGGTAGCAGTGATCAGTACTGAAAGGTAAGCTGTGTTGAATAGTTCCTAATGGTCAAATTTCCCACCCAGCTCCCACAGCCCGCTGCATCAGCACGCAGGCCCTGGGGAGAAACGCACTGACAAACAGAGGAGGTGCTAAGGTTAGGATCATCTGTTCCATCCTGATCGTCCTCCCTGGAAAGGCAGGGCTTGGACGAGGCAGGACTGGTACTATATAAAATGTCACTGGAGGCTCTGGGGCCTCAAGAAGCGTTTGTTACTCTGTCCAGTGGTTTCCAAACTGGTCTATGAATCATTTTTAAAGTGGGGGTTGAAGGAAAGGGTTATCCTGGCACATTGCAAAGGTTCACGGCAGCACTGGCATGGGTGGAAAACACTCCAGACCTGCAACTGGAAGGTCTGTGTTCAAGTCCAACCTTACCAATTAACCAATTGGTAACCCTGAGCAGAACATCTTATTTCCCCATTCTTCAGCTCCTGCCCATGTGAAAATAGGAACATTAACAGTACATAACTAGATGTGTTAATTAACCGAATGAGCGGAATACTTTCACAATGTGAATGTGTATCAAGCCACCACGACGTGCAATTTAAAATCTTACCATTTTATAAATAATTTTATAAATTTACTTTCACCTCAATAAAGATGAAATTTTAAAAATACACCCTACTTAGGACTTCACTATAGATGGAGTTAGGATAGGTGCATGCACATAGTAGGCATCATATGATATTAACAGCATAGCTGCACCAGTGATCATGTTTATGGAGAGACTGCTTTGTGCCAGCGAATGTGCTCAGCACTTTTCATGCACCACCGCACTTGATTCGCGTAACAACTCTCTGAGCTTGGTCTATTATCCCTATTTTATAGACAAAAAGACTAAAGTTTAGAGAACCCAAGGTCATTCAGATAATAAATACTTGCTTGGCTGATGAGATGTAATTTTCATAAACTTTACTAGTTCTGTGATGGAACACAAATTTCACCCCCTTTTAAAGGGGTTAAATATCTTAGTCTAATAAGAGACTTAATATTTATTAAGTGCCTTCTAGATGCCACACAGTGGGCTAATTTACATGTTACTGCACTTAATTCAAACACCTGTGTGTGTGTTTATGAGGGCGGTATTACCCCTATGCTAAAGATGGGAAAGCTGAGGTTCATCAGGGAGAAGTTACTGCCTAAGGTGGTACGGCTGTGGCTTCCGATTCCAACCCCAAGCATAGCTCAGCACACAGCCTGCCTTTAACTTTGGGTGCCCAGCTATTCTAACATGACTTAACCGAACAAAGGCAATACAAAATAATAAACTATAATAATAAAATAAAATAATGACAAAAGATAACATTTTCTCTTTTCTAATTCTTGTTTCCAGATACTTGCATAACATGATCACTAAGCATTCAGTCCAAAATCTGACCACGAACACTGTGTTTTCACTGACACAAGAAGTAAAATGAAAAAACAAATCCCTGAGGAATGTATTTGTTAAAAATGGAACTCATAGTTAACATCCGGTCTTTTAAAGTAATTCTCAGTAATTCTGGTCAAAAGTAAATAATCAGTCTGGTCCCCACTCTGCCAAACAATTTCCATATA